TCATGAACAAATACATTCAAAACTTCGCTTGAATTCAACCATAGGAAACAGCGCACTAGAGCTTTAATGGATGGAAAACAATCAGAATACTGTCCGACGATGCAGAAAATCAACGTCCTGAATGGAATTCCGTAAAAATGAAAAAGAGAGTATACAACTTTTATCCTGGACTTTGGAACGGTGTCCATACGATCCAGAACGAATTTGTCCTTCAGATGCCACTCAGATGCCACTTCGGCGTTCCAAATATTATTTCATCGGTGGAGAAACTTACAGGATCCATTGTCGGAGGGTCGCTAGATCGTATTCATACAGAGCCTTCCACTACTTATGGTCAGAATCTAATCTCGGCTCTTGATGCAACACCTGACGAGATGCAACGCATCCTTAACAGGGATTATAGCACGGTTGCCATATACTAAGAGCAGAGAATGGATGATACCAAAAGAAGAGGGCGTGAAACCAATACAGATTAATCGGTATTTTAGCAATCGCAGGCGGACCTGGTGCCTGCTTACTTGATTATGAGGAAATGTTTCGAGGTTTGCAGCTTCTTCCCATTTCACATTATATGTACCTTTTCATTTCCCATCCAGTCTTTACAGTACGGCTTAAAAACATATACTTTTTAAGTTTTTGATTTATTTAAGACTATTCTTAAGCTTCGCGACCCGTTTCCGTTAGCGCTAGAATCGACATTCGAGACCGAAGCAGATTGCTCATGTCGGTAAACGTTTCAAAACGAAAGGAAGAAAGCGTTTGGTAAACGTTAATTTACTTACATCAGTTCTGCTGTTTTGCTTGCCTTCCTGTAAACGACAAAATGAGTAGTTCCGGTGCGAGATTTCGATTGGAATACTTTTCTCAGGCTAATCCAAAAAGTCCAATTCTCCTGCATTGTATCCTTCACATTAAGAATCGTATAACATTCACCAATTCAGCTGTTTTGTATCGCCACTACAAATTTTTTTCACACCCTTCTGTCATCATTATAGATCCAGCAAAAAGACTTCACGTCAGGTAATGCTCCCTCAGCCTTAGTGAAATATGCGGATGCTTTATGACATCCAACCCTTCCTACTGCACTTTCAAAAAGTAGAACAGAGAGTGCAAAAAGAGTGTTAAACGTCGGAATGTTGATGCCTTGTCGAAAATCATCGCGAGTTGTTTTGCTACTATGTCCTCCTGAATAACCTCATGATTTACCGCGGACAAATATTCGCATGAGTGACCTAGCTGCCTCTTTCCCTCCTTTTGAAACACTTCTGAAATGTAAAGAGATTTTAGTCATGGAATCAGGTTGTACTATTCTGTCCATCCTGCGGCTGACGTAGGAGGAACAGCTAGAGCTGACTCGGGTGACCTCGTCGCACGTGAGGGCCTCCACGTGTATTCCGCCTGTTTGTCGGCACCCTCTGTCTCTCTGACGTAATTTTTTGCGACAACCCCCCACGAGTAGCTTATCGCTCGTTCATCTTCTCGCTAGATGGTGTGACGAGAGTAAGAAAAACTCCCTTCAATGAGCTATGATCTCATCGAGACGAATTCTTTGTTCTCTGTTGTTTTTGTTCTAGAAATGAGGCATCATGAGAACTGTCAAATTACAGTCATTCCCTCTAATATTTGTTAGAGATGTTTAATGCTTATGATCTCAGTAAAAAAATGTTTCCGATCCAAGCCGAGTGTCCTAGCTCTTACAATGAACAACTAATGGTATGTGTTAAACAAACTCAAATCACTTTAATAGTCATACAATTACAAAGCAAATAAATATATATCGTATAATTAGTTATTCCCTATACCCATACTCGTAGTAGTATTCCTAGCAACGATAAAAATCTAATGCGGGTGCCTTCTAGATGCTGTGAGTAGAGACGGACCCTCGCATGTATGATCTGACCTTACACTTTCATCATTTTGAGGCTGTAATGGGTATCATCTTGCCTATCATATTTTTCGGAAGAGTTAATAAACGTTGTATAGTATAATGAATAGTAGCAAATCGTTTTGTTTCCATCGAGACCTCGTTTACTTTCCTCTTGATTACTATAACGTATACCAAATGAGGCTCGGCTACCAGCTGTTTGTCTTTTACAACTTTTAGGTCAAAATCCTTTCAGTGCTTTCGTTTCATTTAGCGCGAATCGATCGGAGTGCACTGCAGGCGGTCGTCGAGCTGGTTTTTGTTGACTCACTAGCTCATTCCAAAAAGTACATAACCTCATATCCACGAGTTGCCATGTTTTTAGTACTTTCTAGTTTTTCGTTCTTTTCGCTACATTTCATTTCAGTTTTCCTTTTGGAATTGATAAACTTCTCACGTCTTTATATTCATGCTTTTTTTGATTCATATTCATATTCATTTATCATATTATATTATTCATATTATTCATTTATTCATATTCATTTATCATATTATATCATTCATATTATTCATTTATTCATGCTTCTCGGAAGGAGACACTCAGATCGAAGTGAGAAGTAATTTTTGTAAAATATTCTTGATTAACCCAACTCTTCAAGGGCTGAGGAGAGCGACAATGTGGGCTAGAATCTTCGGCTATTCTCTTTTTGTGTTGTTCCGCAAAGTCTCCTTCTATTTATAGCGTCATTCGTACTTCTGATCTTCTTCTACATTGAGCACTGAGACTACTTGGAACGTTCGAGTTCTTATCTCTCGCTTTTTTCTCGCCGAACTCCTTGCTCGTGCCGATGTTTTCTGTAAGTCCTCTCGAATGTGCCGTTGTCAAGCGTATATTCGCACCTCTGCCTACTCCCTCACGTCTTTCACTATCGCCAGTCCAAACATCAACGTTGCATAACGGGTGGCGGGGAGGCGACAGAGTTTTAGCAGGTTTTCTGTGAGACTCGCTCTCTGTTTCATGTACTCTTTTCGAAATGCCCGCAGTGAAGGTCGACGGACTATATGAACCTATACGGGCCTTTATTTGATATGAAATAGGTCATTTTAAGCTGATTAACAGAGGACAAACTTCCCTTGTTTTTTTTTTCGAGGAAACATAATGGCCTTCGACTTCATGAGAACGTACCGATAGCTATCACCTGACCTTTTTTGCTCATCCTCACATATGCTCACTCTTTTCAGGTCGCTCATTCAACATTCACTTGACGCTTGACTCGGCCATCAAACACAAGTACCGGAATTGGCACACTCATTTCTCAATTGTAATAACTACTCATACATGCAATTAGCCACAGCCGAAATCCATTCGGTTGCACCTCACAAGGGGACTGAATGGATTAATTAATCTGGAAGCCCTCTTTTCCACGGTTGTACTCCGACTTCTAGATGCTCACGAAGGCAGCCCCTTTCAACGTTTCTCGTCTAGATTATGTCGTGATGGATGAGAGCGATGAAACAAGACGGACACCATTTATATTTGTTTGAGGTGGTCTTTAGAATAAATGACGTTGACCGCTACGAAGTTGACCTGGGGAACATGTGGCCGATTTCACTTAGGCCGGCTTACGCACAAATATCATTCACACAGTTGAAATCAGAAGATCACTTCGTCCACCTAAAAAATGGCTTTTTCACCTATCCGTGATGACGCATAAAGAAGCTATATGTGCATTATTTTTGAGCTTCAGCTCAGCCTGAACAAATTTTTTCTCCCATTATCCCGGGTGGGTTTGTTCCCTTGCTCCATATGAAAGGAATCGTAATTATCTGTGTGTTACTGGCCAAGATCCCTTGTTTATAAGTGAATTTCTTTTTTGCGAGACCTTTCATGTACATACTTTACAGTTCTGAAGCTGAAATCAGTACGCAAGGCTCGTGCCCAGCTTCCTTTATTGGGAATAGTGATTGAAAGGTTTAGAACGTGTACCCTGCACTTTCACCTCTTCAGTAGTCTTCACAATTTGCTGCATTTTGTTCTTGATGCATTAGAGAATACTATAAACCAATCGTCACATGCATTATGCTTTTCGTGAACGGATGAAAAAGAAAAATGATGATGACTGATGCTCCTTGTTTTTGACAGCGCTGTTCGATCAAAGTAATCCTTGAGAAGTTATGATTCCCAGCTGGTGAGGGCTAACCGAAGTTCAAGCGATGCTTCTACCCTTCGAAAAGTTAAGTCCCAGCTCACTGACTGCAAATAAGAAAAAAAAACACTTGGTCTGCCTTCCAATCGTGAACTCAGTCTTGCTCCCTACATGTGTTATCCTGGACGTTTGGAACTAACCATAAGTCATGTCCCCACTCAGAGGGTGTAGACAAAAAGCGGTTATTCTGTTTGCCGGGGCCGGAGGAATAAGTTGAGTGTTTCATTATGNTCTTCACAATTTGCTGCATTTTGTTCTTGATGCATTAGAGAATACTATAAACCAATCGTCACATGCATTATGCTTTTCGTGAAGGGATGAAAGAGAAAAATGATGATGACTGACCTTCCCTATTTTTGTTTTTTCCTTGCTATTCGATCTGAGTAATCCTTGAGGAGTTTCGATTCCCAGCTGGTCAGGGCTGAACGAAGTTCAAATCAGTGCTCCTACCCATCGAAAAGTTAAGTCCCAGCTCATTGACTGCAGATTGAAAAAAAAACACTTGATCTCCCTTCCAATCGTGAATTCATGCTTGCTCCCTACATGTGTTAGCCGGGACGTTTGGAACTGACCATAAGTCATGCCCCCACTCGGAGGGATATAGACAGAATGCGGTTGTTCTGTTTGCTGGGACCGGAGGAATAAGTTGAGTGTTTCATTATGACTGGACTCTGGAAGTTGGTGCGTATGTCATTGGATTCGGATCATTAACGATGAAACATTTACAGTTAAAGGAGAGACTGACGCCATGGGTTAATTGAAGAAAGTTTTCTTTAAGTTCATTTTGAGTTGTTGTCCAATCTGTTATGCTTACACGCATGTGTATGTTGTGTTCTTTTGTTTATCAATGATACCTCCACGTATTGGTGTTTGTCTTTTTTTTACTCACAACTTTTGTTGAAGCACTGAAAGAAGACGTTGTCTTTCAGATGCTCTTACACCGCACATCATTATGTAGCCGAGTATCGCTACGCTTCTGCCAGAAATACGTTGGTAAAGGAAAACCGACGCTCGGAATTCGAAGAGAGACAATTAATGCCTGGGAGAGGAGAGCTCCTCTCGCACCAGCACATGTAAAGAAGCTCACCAGGGCCGGTGTGAATGTACTCGTTCAGCCCAGTAATCGGAGAGCGTACCCAATTCAGGTCGGTATTACTTCTTATCGATAAGGTCGAGCTTTACGTCCTGGCTTTAGAAAACAAATACTTTTTCTCAATAATCGGAAAAAATAGGCTTAACTTCTTCTGCGAAACTTTGGGCTTGTCCAAACTTTCTATTAACTGATTTAGTCTGAAACATAATGGTAAGAGACACACAGGGGCGCCTATTTATGACCTTGCGTATTGAGCCTAGGAAAAAATGAAAACTCATGATTCCGTAAGAGTGATCATCCTTGAAAAAATGCTTCAACTTTCTGAGAGTCGCGATTAAACACGATCTTTTTTGCTTTTTCTTCACTTTTCCTCTACTTAACTACTGTTGACTGTTAATGTTCAAAAGCCAGCGCATGTATTATATTACTAATGAAGCTATAGCTGATTTGAATTCAGGGTTGTATGTTCTGTGCTTATCTCAAAAGAAGGGGCGACGGCTGAATCACCATGAGTGCCTTACAGACCGTGGATATATGTAGGGAAACAAAAAATCAAACCCATCTCAATTTGAAGTCGCAGTTCACGATAATTCTGTGGAAATCTGGTTCTAGACGAATAATGTGACAGCCCTGACTAGTGCAAAAGTTGCGAAGAAGTCGCGAACAACGGCGTCTTCAGAGGTAAATAGGTATTCAAAACAAGTAAAATTAGGGGTTGGACGAGAATTTAACGACAACCGTTGCATGGAATGATATTCGGACGAGCTGTTCTGCCATCGCACACAACTGCCTACAGTAAGCTGCCGTGGCATCGTATGCGTCTCCCATAGCTTCTACAACACCACGAGAACAGTCCATCTTGTCTTAGGTGTATAGTCGGTTAAGCACCTTTTGGACTCCTATTACGACCCTCCCAGGCCGTTTTCCAACCCAACAGCGTCCTTGCGCTATCCTTGGGGGTCACGGTTCATTCAAAAGAGAAAGCATAGAAAACATCTTAACGTTAACTGTGCCTTTGGAGAGTGCTTCAATTACAGCATAGTTGCAGAGATGTCACAAAATTTCGTGCGCATTGAGGTTCTTTCTACTCACAATATGATCCAAATTCCAATGATTCAAAATTTCGATGAAAAAGTCGCATTTCACTCACGCCTTTCCACCTATATCGTGGTATACTCAGAAAATTCTACTTTTTTCTTTTCAGGACTACATTTCTGCTGGTGCCATAGTCAGGGAAGACTTATCGGATGCCCAACTAATCATATCTGTTAAGCAGGTACACTCGCATTCAAAGTTTTTCCACAATTCTTTCTCTTGAATGGCTGTTTATTGTTTTGTCTCGGATCTTTCAGGTGCCTGTTGATCAGCTGATACCCAACAAGACTTACGCTTTTTTCTCGCACACTATTAAAGCTCAACAGGACAACATGGAAATGTTGGACACCATTTTGCAAAGGGTAAGTTGGCTTGTCGTGACCAACACTTGTGTAATGCTCCTTGTTTTGTGAATTTTTAGAAAATTCGCCTAATAGATTATGAAAAAATCGTAGACAGGAAGGGCAAACGTCTGGTCATGTTTGGAAAGTGGGCTGGTAATGCAGGCTTCATCGACATTCTGCACGGTCTTGGATTAAGGTGCGGTACTTACAAGTCGCTTAGAAATAGATTTCTCTCTGGACTTTGTGTGATTTCCTTAATGTTCAGATTGCTAGCACTTGGTCATCACACGCCATTCTTACACGTTGGCCTTGCACATAACTACAGCGATTCTCACATGGCTATCAATGCCCTCCGCGATATCGGCTATGAAATCGCACTCGATAAAATGCCAAGGTGGGTGAATACTGCTAAGAATGGTATCTAAACAGGAATATGTAAGCAGCACCACTCTTGAAATTGTCCGACATCAGTGAATCCCTATAGGTTGGGCCACGCATTGGACTCCTTTTGTGAACGCGCAGGGACTGTACATATGCATGCTCCGCTTACACTGTCGTTTGCAGGCTCTAGGCATGGCGTCCCGTTAGCCTCTTCGAAAAAATTGAATCACTAAATTGAAAATTGAGTGGTCTTCTGCAGATTGGGAAGCTTTGTTAAGGAGGGCTTTTGTCACGGATGAACGAGAGAGTTTTCTCTACGTAGAGTACGAGTGCTAATGATCTCTCTTGTCTTTATTCCCACTTCACTACAGGGACCACTCAACTAAAAATCTTACTGCACAGATTCAACAAAGGACCATCCACCCGAGAACTTGATGAATGAGTAGAGAAAAGAGCTTAGCAGAGCCCTCGTACAGGGTGTCCCAAAACTATGGGCGCCTATTCATAGCAATGTATTTGAAGCTTCCGAGTGAGAATTACAGTGGAATCCATATGTTCTTTTGCTATTTATGTGCTACAACATGCTACAATCACACTTCAAAATGCCCCCCATCAGCACCGACAGAAGGTCAACGTCTCATCTCGATCTCCTCGCATGTTGCACGTAGATATGCTGCTCCATTTCTTCCCGCCTTTCTTGGGTCTTGCTTTGTGGGACTTCAAACTGGCACTGGAAATGCATATTGCCAGAAGACCTACTTGTGCAATTAATCGATAGCGAATGAAGTAAACTTGATAATTTATTTCTACTTCAGAAGTTTCTGAATTTTGGCGTGCATGATTTCAGGAAACCCTCTAGATTTCAGACTTTCAGATACAGTACTCTTCCCTTAGAATCTTGAGTTCGCGTGAAAAACCCGCCTTTCACCTTTGTTACGAAATGGTTCAACCTGTTTTTTTTTGTGAATCGAAATATCACTGCACTCAGCTCTACAAGCTCAACAAGCGGGTACTTGGAATTATGTAAAATTCTGTTTCCGAAAAGGCTGATTTCGAAACATGCTTTCAAGTTCGGAGGGTTATTTTGTCCTAGTGCGAGAAGATATCCTCACGATTAACGATCCGGGGCTACAGTCAGTACTCTGCAATAATTTTGTAACCGACATGATACGAGATAAGCGCTTTCTCTGTTGTATGTATGTTCCTAACTACCATAGCGGGGGGTGGATGGATTGACTACTTAAGAACTGAATTCGATGATACATCAGCTCGAAAAAATGATTTTTGAACCGACTACGATAAAAGAAAACGAAAAAACGCTAATACGTGCTTCCCAGGAGCACACTTAGGATTTCTTGTATTTGATTTTGAATAATAAGTAATCGCTTGCCAACAAATGATCAATTGAAGTTGTTCTACACGAGGCAGGTGTCATGTAAGGAATACATAGGTTGCAATGGATCCAAGAGATATCATCTCCATCACAATATGGCGAATACTGACCTAACAATTACAAAGCAGCATTAAAATCCGTATGCATTACGTGATAGCTTTCAGATCTCTCGGCCCCCTGGTTTTTGTGTTCACTGGATCAGGTAATGTGTCTCAGGGAGCCCAGGAGCTTTTCCAGCATCTCCCTCATGAGTTTGTTGATGTTGCCACTCTACCAAAAGTTGCTCAAAAAGGACGTGAGTGTGTTCGTTACAATTAATTGATTCCAGAATGTTAGCATTGAGCATTTCAGAGCTAAACAAAGTGTACGGCTGTGTTGTTACCCGTGCTGACCACATGGTAGCCAAGAATGGTACGGTTTGATTGTTCGCTAACTTTATTACTTCTTTGATTTCTCGTTCCTCTCACTTCAGGGAGCCCATTCGATAAGGCTGAGTTCGAGAAACATCCTGAGCGTTACACTTCAAAGTTTGCCACTGAGGTAAGCTTTAGATGGGAAAATAATTGGATAGTTCACAGCCGTGGAGAACTTTTGAAACGTAGCTCGAAAACAACTCTGTTATGCAATTCTGTTATTATCGACTTCTATCACGCGTAATCTACGATCCCATTACAACTGACATGACACACTTAAAGGCACGGTTCACGATAATTTTTGGGTACCCGGTTTCTGACGGAAAGTGAAAGATCCGGTCTTGAGTAGGCCAAAAATAACGAAAAAAGGCGAGAACTACATATAGAAAGAATTGGGGAGGACCAGAAGGAAAAATGGCGCTGAAGGGAGTGTTCGAGCGGGGGGACGTGCATTACGTACGACCGAGGACGCGCGCGGCAAATTGCGCGGCGAAGTTCCTAACGGTTTGTACGACTTTGACGCCAATTTTTGGGTCACAAACTCGAAAAAGTGTACTTTAGTAGGGTCAGATGATCCTTCTAATTGCTTTACTTCAAATTTGGGCTGCGCCTTTGAAGTATGAAATAAGGTGCGAACAGTCGATGAAAACACATTAAGTTTTTCTTTTCTAGATAGCTCCATATGCCACTGTTATTATCAATGGAGTTTATTGGGATGCTCGAACACCACGACTGATCACAATACCCGATGCCAAGCACCTACTCACTCCTGTGCATAGGGTATGTGGAGTATCAATTTGAATTCATGATATCATGATTGTTTCTATGCAAGCAAACTACAGCAGCTCAAACTTTGCTTCACCAGAATTTCTCGGCTTGACTTTTTCATCTAAAATTCTCCGAAATAAGAAGAGACTGAACGCCCGAACTCCAGAGACCCTTTTTTTGTCTGGATGAACATGCCTCTTTCCTTCATCGTT